GATTTTTAGCACTTGGATTTGGGAGTATGGAAATAGGCTTCTGTAATGCAGTCAGAGATTTTATTTTTTCATAGCCGTTTCAAGGAAGACTTCCTACTGCTTCTTGTAGAAGCAGACATTCTGACATTTTTTGCAAAGCTTTTCACAAAATACTGAGAGGAGAAATAACTGTGTTGCAGCTTTGAATCCTCCAATACTTAGCCAGTGACATAGAATCATAGAATCATTTAGGTTGGAAAAGACATCAAGTCCAACCATTAACCTAGCAGTGCCAAGCCCACCACTAAACCATGTCCCTAAGCACCACATCTACAGGTCCTTTAAATACCTCCAGGGATGGGAACTTGACCGCTTCCCTGAGCAGCCCGTTCCAATGCTTAACAACCCTTTCGGTGAAGAAATTTTTCCTCATATCCAATCTAAACCTCCAGTGGCACAACTTGAGGTGGTTTCTTCTTGTCTTATCACTTGTTACTTGGGAGAAGAGACCAACCCCCACCACACTACTCCCTCCTGTCAGGCAGTTGTAGAGGTCTACCCTCAGCCTCCTCTTCTCCAGGCTGAACATCCCCCGTTGCCTCAGCCGCTCCCCATCAGCCTTGGGCTCCAGACCCCTCCCCAGCTTCCTTGCCCTTCTCTGGACACGCTCCAGCGCCTCCATGTCCTTCTTGGAGCGAGGGGCCCAAAATTTGAACACAGCATTTGAGGTATGGCCTCACCAGTGCTGAGTACTGGGGACGGATGACTTTCCTGCTCCTGCTGGCCACACTATTCCTGATAGAAGCCAGGATGCTGTTGGCCTTGGCCTCCTGGGCACACTGCTGGCTTGTATTCAGTCGGCTGTCAACCAACAACCCCAGATGCCTCTCTGCCAGGCAGCTTTTCAGCCACTCTTCCCCACGCCTGTAGCGTTGCATGGGGTTGTTGTGACTCAAGTGCAGGACCCAGCACTTGGTCTTGTTGAACCTCATACAGTTGGCTCAGACCATTGATCCAGCCTGTCCAGACCCCTCCTCTGTAGAGCCTTCCTACCCTCCCACCCAACTCAGTGTTGTCTGCAAACTTACTGAGAGTGCACTCAATCCCCTGGTCCAGATCATTGATAGAGACATTCAACAGATCTGACCCTAACACTGAGCCCTGAGGAACACCCCTTGGGACTGCCTGCCAACTGGGTTTAACTCCGTTCACCACAACTCTTTGGGCCTGGCCATCCAGCCAGCTTTTGACCCAGTGAAGAGTATGTCCATCCAAGCCATGAGCAGCCAGTTTCTCCAGAATGCTGTGGGAAACTGTCAAAGGCTTTGCTAAAGCCTTTGACATGGCAAAGAAAACCTTATTTCTGTATTAAAGATACAGTGTCATTGACCAATTTTTTGAAAATTAAATGTTTTGACTGCTCCTAGAAGAGCTGACTTCTTTGAACGTGAAAAGATTTGTAAACTTGAGCTGTAACGAAAAAAGCTACACTCTGGATTTAAAATGTCGTGGTAGGAATTGTTAACATTTGTACTATATGTACAAATAGGTATATGCAAAAAACTGTATTTCTGTTGAATAGCAGGTTTAAAAACTTTTGTTTAGGTTTCTTCTTTTACAGGGTAAACCATAGGCTATGTGCATCTAAATGAGATTTATTTAACCTGGGTGTTTTTACTTTCTATATTTCCTTGGCTGTAATTGGCTTGTAGAATAGCTACCGTAGTGAATATTAAACAAATTTTGTAGCTGGTCAGTAACTACTGGGTTTAATATGAGACTTTTTGTTTTCCCAAAGATATAAAGTTCAAGGGGAGAGATTTCTATCTGGAGATCAAACACACTGTTAGCAAATGATGGCAGGTTGCCTAAAAATGTTTATTAAAAACAAATTGTGTAGTCGTAACCAATTTCACAAAGAGAAATTGTCAAACCAAGTGTGTGTGTATGTGTTTGGGTTTTATTTGGCTCAAAACGGGTTTGAAAATGCATTAGTAGAAGATATTAATTAGATTTTTCAATTGCAATATGTGCTGTCAGAGTTAGTTTTCAAAACATCATTCAAGCTCTCTCCTGTACGTGTTTAACTTTAAGCATATAATTTCTGTTCAGCTATACAGGACTGGGGTTGTCTGCTGACATCGCTCATCAGAGAGTGTGTGTTTTGGTTTTGGGGTGCCCCCTCCACGCAGTTTTAACTGCACAAATTTTGAGGAATTTTAGGGAATGCCTGAAACTGCTTGCAGGATTTTATCCTTAGGGACTTGAGGAATTTATTTTGTTAAAATATTTTCCTATTTTTTTTCTTTGGGCTCAGTAGTTATTTCGGTATCAATATTGAAGGGCATATATCCTTTTTAGAATGTAACAAAAAGAATTTAAGGTATCAATGTAGCACTGTTATTCTCTGTAATCCCTTGAACTCTTGAACTCTGTAATCCTTAGAGCTCTGCATAAAGTGGTCTTTGTGATGTGTATTTCTGTTACTGTCTCTTGATTTAAATAGACCAAGTCAGTGTTTCAGGTTGTTTCAGATAGAGAAACAGTTGGTACTGTAAGGAATAAGGTGGCCGTTTCTCCTAGTTGTTAACAGAGGGTGTAAAAATCCTGTTTCCCTGAGCACAGGAGGCAGCAAAAAGCAGGGAACGGATTCTTTGCTTGTAACTGCAGTTTCTTTTCAGCCTGAACTTGATCCGCAAAAAATGCTAATCTGGGGATGTTTTCTCAGGGTAGCACATAGCATGTAGCTGTTAATTCTCTCTACCAAGTGTATAGATAATTGCATCCACCTTAACCATGGTATGTCTGCTTGGAGCTTTTACCTTTCTGGTCCAAAATATGTAGCTCGATTTTTCTCATTTTCTCTGGAAGCCAATTTTTTTCCCCTCAATCCTTAATGTATTCTTGTTGTTGCAACATTGTTTTCCTTTCTTCAGTAATCGTATCCTAGGTCCTATTTGTAAGCATATCAACAGTATTGACCTGATGATTGAAAAATATCTTTATGACTTAGTAGATCTCTGACTAATGTCCAGAAAAGATTGTGCATCAATAAAAGTAGTCTGATGGGTCAATAAAACTTTGTCAAAACCTTCACAATCTTTACTCAAAAAGGCGTGTTGGAGACAAGGCTGTAATTCACTTGGGAATGAGATTCTCAGCGTTGAGTGATAGGACTTTACTTAAGGGATGGAAGAGTCACCGTTTCCAACATCTGGTGCTCATTTGTCACGAAGGTCCTCAGTATCTCCTTGTTTTTTTTTTTTTTGTTTTTTTGGGTTTTTTTTAAGAATATTTGCCTGGAATTTGGAACTTGCCAGGCTTCTCTGGAGTGCCCTTAGTTGAAAAGCTAACATGGGTGCTTTAATGCAGGCTTACTTGGTTTAACACATTGCATTCTCCACCACGTTGGTGAAATCTGTTCTGCATTTAGACTAGAGAGGAAAAATTCTGGAAAGGTTTAGCTATTATTCAGATTACTGCTTTCATAATGACAAAGCTCTAGGCCATTCAGTCTGTTACCCTAATTTTGTAAGCATAGACTCATAGAATGTTTTGTGTTGGAAGGGACCCCTAGAGGTCATCTAGTCCAACCGCTGTTTGACTTCTTTTTTTCCCTTTCACAGTCTATCTCTGAGTCAATACGAAGGGCATGCTACAGAACTTGTCCTTTGTAACTATTCAGAGCAACCAGTTTCCTAGAGTTAAGAGCAGGAGAAAACCACTGGTGCTGTGAGAGGAAGGTTATAATCAGTCATTTGCAGTGAGTTTTCATGCAGCTATCTCGCCATCACTGAATGGGCACTTATCCTGTTTGAATGCACTATAGCTGACATCGGGAGAATCCCTTCCTGCTGCCACAAGGACAGAGTCCCTAGCTGCTGTAGTTACTTAAAAGCTCTATTCTGGGTCATTTCTCCAGGCTGACATAGAATAGAAAAGTGTAATGGCCTTGGGCCCACAGTCTTGATTTGCTTTAGCCTTTTCATAGGAGACAGTAGAAAGTGAATAAAGGTGAGCATGGACGGGATTTCAGAGGTGAAACTGTGGAGTGGATGGTCTTTTATTAGCATCTTCCAGTTCTTTATTTGAATTCTTTGAATTTCGGGGATTCTCACATGGCTTTTTGATCAAAAAAAGCAGGCTGGTATTAAAAGACTGGGTAACTAATAGCATCTGTATACTGTTCTGTGTGCAGATATTTTTTTATTTCTTTTCCTTTTCAAGCTGGAAGAAAAGCCCCACTAATGAATTGTGCTGAAGAGACATGCTCTGTGAGGTTAGAAGAAGCGTTCTGAGGAATCCTACAACGGTTAGATGCTCTGTGAGGTTAGGAGTAGGATGGCAGGAGGGACAGAAGAAGCGTTCTGAGGAATCCTACAACGGTTACTATTAGAAATGATTAACTGCTGAAAAAGCCAGCATGAGGCATTTGTGAATCTTCTTCCTTAGCGGTGTGTGTAGTAGAGGGAGAAAAATATTCCCTGCCTGTTTATGCTCTGCCTCTGTTCACAGGGAGCTTTTGTGCAAAATAGCGTTAAGCTATGCAAAGAGCAAACACGTCACGCAGAATCCCTTGTACCATGTGTGTATTTGGCGAGGGTCATGGCAACTGTAGAGGACAAGGAAACTTTATGCTTGTGGGTTTGCATGTCTGAAAGGCTGTTTTATCCTATGTAATTCTCATTGCAGTTAGGGTGTGCAGGTTATTTTGGAAACTTGGACTGAAATTCGATGTATACTAAAATGCAGTTATAGTGGGCTGAATATTCTCACAATAAAGGAGTTGTGATGACGGCTTGTTTTTTGTTTCAGGACTTCTAGTATGCTTGAAGGCACAAACCTATGCTTGTTCCTCTTATTAAAGGCTTGAAAAGGAGTAGAATCACCAATAAACATATATATTAATTATATACTTTTTCTTGTGTCACTATTATTCCTTTATCATAGTTGCATTTTCCTTTTTTTTTTTTTATAGGCAGTTGCTGGTTATTTCGATATATTTTTTGAGAAGAACTGTCACAACAAGGTGAGTATTTGGTGTTACGCATTTAAAAAATGTCTTTGGGAGATCAGGATGGTTTTGTTCTTTATTCTGCCTCAAGGCGTTTGGCAGTGAGTCTTTTTTGCTGTAGCAAACACTTCATGTGCATGTGTGTTTGGTAGTTGATTGATGTAATGTGATATCAAAAATGTTGTTCTTAATCAAACTCTTGAACTCTTCCATTGCAGGTCTTGTTTTCAACTGGTCCCCAGTGTACCAAAACACACTGGAAACAGACAGTTTTTCTCCTGGAGAAACCAATTGCGGTAGAAGCAGGTATATTTAAATTCAGTTGTGGTGCAACAATGATTGTGTTACACTGCTGTTATCATTAAATTTAAATCTTAACATAAGTATCATACCTGTCAAGTGATTGCACAGGATATTTTGTAGCACTCCCACGCTATGCTGTGTTTTTTAAATGAATCATGAATATGTTGTACCTGGCACTGTGTGATTCCTCTGTAAAATGAAAACAGTTTCAAAGAACTGACAGCCATGAACTTCATCCATTGAAGTACAGAAGATGTTATTTTGATACACTGTAAATTTTTATGAAATGGATAAGTACAGTAATATGTTTCACCTTGAATCTGATGCAAGTGAAAAGGCTTTTGTTGTCATCAGAGATCACACTTCACCTGAATTTTGGGTTGTTTTGAAGACTAAAGTGATGTTTGTTAGTGGTTTTATTTAGTTCTACTTGGTAAGTCTTGAAAAAAATATTTGTATGTGAGTAGTTGAATATTCCTTGCTTTATAGCCAGAGAAATACGCCTGTAACTGTGACAGGATAGTCATGCAAGAGAATGGACGTACAACAGGGCAAGAATTATAAGTCTTGCCCTCTTATTCCTGTAGAGCTGCACTTTTGGACTCTACTAGTCTTTTTATAATCAAAGGAAATAAAGTAGTTATATTTTTATGCTGGTTAATTATTTTTTATTTTTGTCCACTTAACTCACCGCTGCTGAACTCTTACCCCGTGGTGAATTAGTTGTCTTTGAGGGACATTTTTTTGTTTTTACAGACTAGCAGGACCAAGTAAGGAACCTCGGAGTAGGGCTCGCTTCTGCTGGCTGGTTAAAAAACTCATGGTAATACATAGCCCTAAACTGAACAGTTTATAAATAGACCAGATATAAGGGGGGAAAAAAAAAAGTACAAAAATTTATGTGGATGTTGCAAAAGAAACTGAGGTCAAGAGGCTTAGAGGTGCTATAGAGAAGTATTGAGGTATTTGGAGATGGAATATTGTCTCTCTTAACAGACCTAATTATGAATGTCAATGGTGAAAGCTGCCTCTGCGCGCAATTAAACAGCTTTTGCAGTTGCATCTTCCAGCTATCAGCCATGACAACTTTTTACCAGAAGCTCCTTTCCTAAAGGCACTATGGTCTATGTTACTTGACAAATCATTTCTCTCTTTCGTGCTTTGACTTTATATTCTTAAATAATTTTTATTTGCATATTCTTAGGTCCTGTCAGCTCTTGGGATGCACATATCCATTGGTACTTCGCTTGTGTTCTGTTCAAGTTTCTCTTTTTAGAGAAGGCTGGCTAAGGTCTCCTTGCTGCAACTCATTAAATTTCAATGTCATAGAGTGTGAAGTGAAATTTTAAGTGCAATGACATTTGTTAGAATATGCACGTTATTTAATATTACATAGATCATTTGACATTTACCAAATGTCTGAAATTACTGGGAGGTGTGCCTGGCTCTAGAATTCTAGTCTAGGTGCGGTGACTTTCTGAAGACAACTGCAGAAACAGTGCGCTTTGAAGCACAACCTAGTTGACCTTGGAAGGTCACTTTTGCTGCAACTTCTTTTTTCTTTATTGGCTCATATTGCTTAAAATTATTCCCATGGCAAACCTTGTTACATCTATGCTTCTGTTGTCTTTCTACCTGTCTCCTTCTCTTCATAATTATTTGAGTTCCCCTTTCCCATCCTTTTACCCATTCTGTCTGGTTTTATATATTATATAAAATGACCACTTCGATCTAGAATTCTCTACCTGTTATCTCTAGTGTTAGAGAAGGTTCTGAGAGAAACTCTTGATGCGATTTCCTTTTCCTTTGTAATCCCAGCATTAATTTCTGTGGGATATTTGTTGTTTGTGGATGACATAAGCCCATCAGGGCAGAAGGTATTTCCTGATACTTACATAGGAATGTTGCTTAATTTAGGTCATTTTTTTGAAAAACCCTTCTCTCTGATTCTTCTCCTTCATTGTTCCAAAAATCTTTTTTCCTCCAGGCATGTTACTATAAGTACAGATTTCCCTGTCTTCCCCTTTTTTCGTATTGTTTTGTTTGTTTGTTTTCTTTGTAAAAACAGTAATTTGTATATTCAACTTGGTAACCTGTGGTTCTTTGATTTATTCAGTCTCTTGCTTTCCATTTTACCAATGAAACAAACTGCTCAAACTCCTTTTGCACTTTTGTAAAGTTGCACTTCCAGCTGTTTTTCGTCTGTCACTTGTTAATGACTTAGCACTGCTTGTTACCACGTTACCATGCCTTGTGTCTGCCTGGCATGTTGAATTGAACTCCACTCCAAGTGTACTTAGCGTTTGGGGACTTTTTTTTTGTCTTCAAATAGGTTTTTCTCAATGCAAGTTAACTGGAAAAAAAAAAGTGACTGTACTAGATTAAACACATTTGCATCATTTGAAGGCATCAGCCTTTATGTCTATCTCTGGTTACCAATAGTCATCAATCCTCTGTATAAAGTCTTAGAATAAGGAATGTATATGTGGCAGTGGGAGACACAAAGAAGACAACCTGCTTGTGACTAAATGTATTGTTTGAGTCAGGACAAGCTCTTTCCTTAGTAAATAATGGAAAATAAATAGAAATAATATTATTTGAGTCTTGCAATAATCTGACCAGTGTACTGATGGTAGCATTTGCTTTCAGTATGTTAATAGGTTGTGAAAGAGGAATTTGGTGGCATAAAATGCATTTTAAATGCTTTCCTGTTTTGAAAGCATCTTTCAGACAAGGCAGTGTTGTTTGGTTTTGCTTTTTTCCCCCCAGTAAAGAAGAATGGTTCCCTCAGATGTCTAATTCTGAATAGAATTGTAGGGCTGACTTAAAGTCTCTATCGGGTGCTTTATAGCTTTTGGGGATATGCCTAAAGTGGTTATAAAGCACTGACTATATTTGGATTTGCTCTTTAAAAGAGGTTGAGCTTTACAGGTATCTGAACCTCTCGGGTATTTAACAGGAAAAGGCTGCTTTTATGCCATGGCAAAATTGTTGTTTTCTGCAGCATGAACTAGCTAATTTTCTCAGCTGTTTGATGCCAGGTTATTTGCTGTAAAGACAGATCCACTTTCTGAGCCATAAAAAAGACTGAATGTTTTGATCTGTATTCTGATGACAACAGAATCAAGCCATTACAAGCCTAAGGATAGGGCTTGCAACTAATCCTCCCTCCTTCGCCATTCCTGCCGCAGCCTGCTCTAGGTGTGAAATGCTTGCAGATTCTCTGAGGTGAAGCAGGAGAGGCTTAACCTGGGTCCAAAGATCTGGCAAGTGAGGCAATAAAAGCTGTTCCTAGTTAATACTTCTGATTTACCACTGAATTTCAGCTTGATACCTAGCTATGGTAGGCAGCTTTATATATAGTTTTAATGGATAATTTCCATTGATTTGGTTTAGATTTAATGTGTGAGTGGGGGCTAGTCTCTTACTCACGTATTCTGAAAAGCTAGTTTTCCTCCTCACAGACTGTGACGAGAAACTTGAAGCTGATGCACAGTGAAGTAAAACAGA